GGACGCGGCGGGCCGTCCACGCGGCGAGCGCTTCCACACGCGCGAGGCGTCCGCGCCCCACGTGGCGAGTGCTGTCAGTGAGGTGAGTGCGGTGCCGCGAGTGTGTGCGCGGCGATGCTGCCGGCGCGGGAGGCAACCATGCGCCCGCCATGCCCGAGGACTTGATGCTTCGCTCGTTCGGCCGGGTCGAGGTGAGCTCCCACGACGCCCGCGGCGGCGAGACGCACGTGGCGCGTGCCGGCGGCGCACGCGCGTGGCGTGTTTGCGTGCGATCCACTCTTGCGTCCTTCGCTGCGTTCTTGTGGGATTGCTTTTGTCACGCTGCATGCTCGTTGTTGGACTGCCTTTGTCTCGTTGTTTTCAAGAAAACGAGATGCATTCGAATGCTTGACTGGTGTTGAAGTGTTTGAAATCCGGAGGTTGAGTGTATAATGCATTTTTATATTAGTTCTGAGTTGGCATTTCGGATGTTGATACTACATCCACCATCGTTGCCTTTGTTTAATTATATATTAATTCAATATTGCTAACCAAGAAGAACAAAGTGAGAAGTTCGCGTAATGAAGTGAAATCATGAAACATTTTAAGAGAATGGAAGGGGGAAATAGATTACCGTTAATTTAAAAGTAAACAATTAGTTTCTTGTGACACGCATTCTGCATTTTACAATCGCTTCGTCCGTAATTAAATTGAACAATTGTTCTGACGTATCTGAAATGAGCTTGATATGCAATGGTGTTGTGGTTACATTGCAATGCAACTTCTTTTTCTTTCGTGTAAATGTCACCATGAAAGGATATTCATTTGGCATGGTACAATTTATGCTCTTTCTACATTAATTATTCAATGAAATACTGAGCACAAAAATTCCTGGTCACTAATAGCATTTGAGGCGGTAGAATTCGTTAAGTGTAATTCAATACCAGTGATACAGACGTCTTAAACAAAGAATTTATTTTTTATAATTCTATTATTAAATTATTAGTTGTGTTTTTAATGGAAATTCAGTTTCTAAATATGGTCAACATTTTCCCTCTTCAGTATTATTGCTCCGTCAGTTTTCATAGGACGCTTTTTTGCCTATAATAGCCCTTTTGACGACCCCTGGTCTCGACCTTTCCGTCACCTTTCCTCTTGTACAAAACGTACTTCTTTTTACGAGAAAAGCCCTCTCTCTTCGAATGCGGAGGCAGCGCTTAGATCCACATTTGCTTTATTTATTTATAAAAGTCTGTGTATTATTGTGGCCCAGGTATCCCGCAGGCACAAAGAAAATGGAAAGAATAGGGTTGAAAGGTGATGCTTGGAAATTGGGAGAGTCCCGCCATGCCACAACAAACAAACATCCATGGTCGAACGTCAGACCCTTCGACTCGAGATCATTTAAACGCTATCGCTACATTTTCAGCTATCCAGGTCGGCTACAAAGTTGTGCGTCTTTTCTACATCATTTTATTTCTTTCCTTAGACCCAGAATATTATTGCGTAGCAGGTTTCCGTCGATTCAAGTTGCGCTCGTCAATATTTTATGTAAGAACACGGGCCGTACTTTTAACCCGTTTTCAACCGCTGCTTATGAAAACGGCCCTGGGATGGAGGGAGCGCGAGTGCAGCGGCGCCCGGGGCGGGCTGGAGGCGGCGCCGGCCGCGGCGCGACGGGCTCTTTGTGGCGCGAAACGCTTTCGGTTTCAACGCCACCTCACCTGGCTGGGCACAGCCGCCGCCGTCGGCGCCACGCGGTCGCGCCGCCGCGCCACGCCGCCTCGCCTCGCCACGCCGCTCCGCGCCACGCTCCGCGCGCACTCCGGGGCCCAGCCGCCGGCGCGGGGCGGCCGAGGGGGCAGCAGCTCGTGTGTGGTCACGGGTTCAAAGACACCGAGTCCCCGACGCGCAGGGCCCGGGGTTCGCCGCGCCGCGCCGCACGCCTGTTTTTCAGCCTACTCCACCGCCCACTCCGCCGCCTACGCCCACTCGCCCGTCTGCCAGGCCGTTCTTCATCCCAATTTGCCCGTCGGGCGGCGGCCCGAGTGGACTCGGTGAAGTGCACTTTTGCCCCTTCGGTTCGGCGAAGCTCTTGCGTACCCAGTCTCATCACATCTCATCCTTCCCTTTCATTCCGTTGCTCATTCGTTCCCATATACGACCCGTTCAGATCGCACTTCGCGTGTTCTCCATCATTACTTCTTCTGGGCTGCGTTCAAGAACAACTTCTTTCAGTAATACACTCATTTACATCATACAATGACCTCTGCGTTTCTACTTATAAGTCTGATTGATGCATTTCTTGTGGAAGAACGTTGCACGTTCGCGCTTCCTGCCTCGGGACTTCTCGAACAATCCTCGGACTGGCTCGTTCCTTCGCATCGCGCCGCCGCCGCCGCTTAAAACCAACAGTCGCGGTGACGGCGATGGTGGCGGCTGGGGGAGTGGCGGGAGTGACGGCAGCAGCCTTGAGGCCGGCGCGCTGTCGTGCTTTTTGCAACGCCGGTGGCAGCGGCGGCGGCGGCGGCACCGGTTCTTTGGCGCTGTCCCTCCGTGGGTCATCCCGGAGTCTTTCTCTTGCCGCCGCCGCCCCCGCGCCGCCGCTCGAGTTATCTGCCACCGACGCGCGCTGCTCTTCCTAATGGCGCACGCGACGCGATAACGCAGGAAGAGCTCGCTCGCGTCGCGTCACGCGGCCTCTCCGTGCCGCCCCGTTCACGCGCCCCAGGCCCCCTAAAAGGCAGCTCGGACCTATTACCGGGGCCCCAAGTGGAGTGGCATTATGTTGTGGTTCGCATGCGCCGCCTTCACTGTCGGACGTTGACGCGTCGCGTCGTTAGTGTATCGATGGATCCTGCCTTTTAACTTAATGCACACACGCTGCAGGGTGCCTTTTCTGTTTGTTTTTTGTCTTGCTTTGTACGTTTGTCTTCCTGACAAGCGTTTTCTGTGATTTATTGTCCAGATTTAAGCAATATTGCGTTTTCAAGATTTTAATGGCTTTCACGAGTTTTCGTGCGTCAAGTGGAACCTACCTTGCTGTATATAATTGGACTAGATGGAGTAAAAAAAAGTGAAAATAAATAGTGTATGCTCTATGAAATATTACAGTTTTTGGTGGCAGAATATTTTCCATTTGATTTTAAGTTAGATTTCTGCCGGTTTTGGCCCTCATGAGAAGCTACTTCCATGGTTCTGTGGTCCAGACTTTTCTTTCCCAATCACACACAAACATAATTGTATCAATATCGGTGTGCGGTGTCTTCTCCTTGGACCGCGTCAACAATTGTAAAAACTGTCGTTGTAATTGGGGGGATGAATTACAGGATGTAGCTGCAGGAATCTTAGAAATGAATAAGGGGATATGAACAGAGAAACGCGAAAGTTGAGCAAGCACTAACATATGACCAAGGTGGAACTCGAATACACGATACTCTAAAATAGAGTTCACGCTCCCTCCATTGCAAATTTGCATTCCAAGATCTTCCACCTTTTGATTTTACAGTGAAATTATACATTTTAATATACTAAAACACATAATGACATTCAAGATAATATGCTTCTGAGAGGCACTGGATGTAAGGTTGTTTACTTGCATTCAATATATCTGGTTTATTTTTATATACTTCTGATCTATGATTGCACTAACTGGATAATAAATGACATTCAGTTTCTTCATTCTGTAACATACTTCTACGCACACGCAATTTGTATGTGCTTTGTCTACTTTTCTTTCGGTCCTTTAACATTCGTACTTCTTAATAATAAAATGATACTTCATAAGTTTTACCATATAATGATCGATGTAAAGAATGATTATTATTTTTATGCCCAGTAATGAACTGTAGTGAAACCGAGAGAGGGTCATGGGTCTTCAGGCCGTTCCAAGAAGGCTAACAAGTTGTTATGCATCATATGTGTATTCATGCGTATGCTAATTTTCTATTGTAACGAAGGTTAATCAATATTTTAATGGAGTAAGTTATAATAATTCGAAATCTATAAATAAACATTAATTTTAAATTGAACGTAATGAAAAAAACAAACAAAGATTAATTAGGCCGGTCATTAGTCCTGTAGCACCTCTGCTTTAAAAATCTTGATTCCGCCTCTGAATATTGAATAATAGAACGTAATTATATTTGTACGAAGTTTACATTCGTGTCACGCGCCAACGGATACAATGCACAACTAAACGCCGTTTTTTTGGGGATGCTCCGGGCGCGTAGTCCGTCTCCGCTGGAGAGAACGCCGGTCCCCGGGGGCATTGGCTTGTGTCTGTTGTATCGGGGAGGGGCGGCCCTCGTCCCTCCCCATTTCGCCGGCCGCATCGCGGGATCATCACGCTCCGGGCCTGCGGACGCGCACCTGCCGGCGGCCCCGCCCCGCCCGCCGGAGCCATCCCTCGGAGTGACGTAAGACGAAGCGAGCTCCCCTGCCCCCCTCCCCCGCCGTTCGCTCCGCGACACGCTGCATCTGGCTGCGAAGGACTTCCCACCAGACTTTCCGAGTGATTGAATTGGAACACCGAACAGCCGGGATCGAGCGCCTGTAGACTTCAACGTCCGAATCAGCTGCGAGCCTTCCGCCACGTGATAATATTCGGTGCTCTCTGACGCTCCTCGAACTAATATTACCGGAAGTGCGAATCATATTATTGTGCACTGTTTTATAATAATTCGTTCATATAATTGTAATTAATTTATTATAATATGTTCTTATAAATTGTTTTTATAGTACGTAAATGTCAAGTATTTTCAACATGTCCTATGAAAACTTTGGTCGACAGTAATCCAAATATTTTTTAAGTAATCGATTAATAGTTTATCTGCAATACTAGTTTAAAATCTTTCGTAAATATTCTGTGATATATTAAAAATATAAAATTAATTTTTAAACGCTTTAATTATTGACTTGTAATAATATCACCTTTAGTGATATACTATTATTCAGTGTAGTTTTTTTCTGCCTTTCTATATGATATTGAACACAGAGATTTTTATCTAAAGAAATATTTTATTCAAAGTTAAATCTTTAAATAGGGTCATGAAATGAAATGGAAATCACGGATTGAAGTAAAAAATTCAAAAATCTTTCCCGTAAATTATCAGAATTTTCATCAGGTCTTTAAAATATATTGTAAGTAGCACAATTCACATATTCTGACCTGGGTACAATATGTTATTACAACTATAGTGTATGAATATTT